CGGCCCAAGAGGCCCCCAAGATCGCCCCAAAACCGCTCACGAGGCCTCCAAAATGGCCCCATGACGGCCCAAGAGGCCCCCAAGACGGCCCCAAGAGTGCACAAAGACGACCCAAGAGGCCTCCAAGACGCCCAAGATGGCCTCCAAGACGGACCCGAAGCGCCCCAAGAGGGCCCCAAGTCGGTTCAGAGAGGCCCCCACAACGGCTCCCGACGGCGTCGGACGGACCAGGAACGCCATAAGACGGCCAAAGAAGCCCCCGAGAAGCCCTTAAAGGGCCCCAAGAGGCCCTCAGGAGGCCCCAAGAGAGCCCACGATAGCCCCAACATGGTCGCCAAGACGGTCCCAAGATGGCCCAATCGAGCCCAAGAGTGCCTCAAGAGGCTCCGAAGAGGCATCATCCCCCTTCTCCTTTTTCCTCCTTCTCCTCCTCCTCCCCTTCCTCCCCCCCGCGTTCCCCGAAATCTTTCCAAACCGACTCGGTGAACACATGGTCCGATAGCTTGGCCAAGCTCTAGCCCAGCTGTCGGACACATAGGCGCTTCCACAAGGGCAGGGGGCGGCGGTGATTCGCCGTAGGCGTCTTCGATATGCCGCCCCCTGTTGGCTTGCCACAGGGGTGCCTGGCGTGCTAGATCTTTTCGATGTTGGTTTTGGTTCTTTTCCAAAAGAACTCCCCCTGGGGCTTCGACCGATCCCGCCAAGGTCCCGGAAACCACCTCAACGACCACGAAACATTCTCCAAGGCGGCTCAAGATGGCCTCTAAGATGTTCACGTTGGCCCAAGATGGCCTCCAAGATGGCCCAAGATGGCCTCCAAGTCGCCAAAAATGGTCCAAGATGGCTTCCAAGACGGCCCGAGAGAGTCCAAGATGCCTTCAAGTTTGTCCAAGAAGCCTCCAAGACGGCCGAAGATGGCTCCAAGCTGGCCAAGACGTCCTCCAGGAAGGCCCGAAAGAGCAAAAATCATTGATTGTCCTAAGGTTTTTGACGGTTTTGGGCATATTCTTCTTATCAGCTCTCCAACGGCCCAAGACGGCCCAAGATGGCCCCGAAGACGCCGAAGATGGCCTCCAAGTCGGCCGAGATGGCCTCCAAGATGCCTCCAAGACGGCCACGAAGGACTCCAAGACAGCGAAGATTGCCCCAAGATGCACCCAAGACGGCCTCAGATGGCCTGAAGATTGCCTTAGACTGCCCAAAAGGCCCGCCAGAGGCCTCCAAGACGACCCAAGAGCCCTCCAAGACGTCCTCCAGGAAGGCCCGAAAGCTCAGAAACCACCTGGTCCGATAGCTCGCCCGACTCCGTGTTCCCCGAAGGCTTTCGAAACCCATTCGGGGAACGCGTGGCCCGATAGCTTGGCCAAGCTCAAGTCCAACTTTCGGCCACGCAGGCGCTTCCAAAGGGGCGGCGGTGATTCGCCGTAGGCGTCTTCGATCAGCCACCCCCTGTTGGCTTGCCATTGGGGTGCACGGCGTGCCAAATGTTGGGTAGTTGCTGGTTCTTCTCAAGGTTTCTAGGGGCCTTCAGCCCGATCCGCCGGTCATCCGGAAGGACGCGCAAGGACCTCAATGTCCAAAACAAAATCGCCACGAGACGGCCAAGATGGCCAAGATGGCCGCCAAGATGCCTCCAAGACGGCCAAGATGGCCCAAGGTGGTCTCCAAGACGGCCCGAAAACGCCTCCAAGACGGCCAAGATGGCCAAAAGACGGCCCAACATGTCCTCCAGACGGCCCAACAGGCCGCAAGACGCCTCCTCCTCCTCATCATCATCCTCCTCCTCAACTTCCTCCTCCTTCCCCTTCTCCTCCTGCTCCTCCTCCGCCTCCTCCTCCTCCTCCTCCTCTCCCTCCTCCTGATCCTCCTCCTCCTCCTCCTCCTCCTCCTCCTCCTCCTCCTCCTCCTCCTCCTCTTACTCCTCCTCCTCCTCCTCGTCCTCCTCCTCCTGTTCCTCCCCCCTCCTCCTCCTCTCCTCCTCCTCCTCCTCCTCCTCCTCCTCATCATCATCATCATCATCATCATCATCACCAACATCATCATCATCATCATCATCATCATCATCATCATCATCATCATCATCACCACCCATCATCATCAGTAGCAGCAGCATTACCATCATCAGCATAATCAGCATCAGCAGCATCATCATCAGCATCACCATCATAATAATGATAATAATAATAACAATAATAATAATAAGCATAATAATCAGAAGCATCATCATCACCATCATCATCATCACCATCATCATCACCATCATCATCATCAGAATAATCATCATCAGCATGATCATCATCATCATGGGCATCATCAGCATCATCATCAGCATCAGCATCCTCATAATCAGCATCAGCAGCGTCAGCAACATCATCATTAGCATCACCATCATCATCACCATCATCATAAGCATCAGCATCATCATCACCACCACCAGTATCATCATGATCATCATCAGCGTCATCATCATCAGCATAATCATCAGCAGCATCAGCATCATCATCAGCAGCAGCATCAGCATCAGCATCAGCAGCATCAGCATCAGCATCAGCAGCATCAGCATCAGCATCATCATCATCATCAACAGCATCAGCAGCAGCATCATCATCATCGTCATCATCATCAACATCATCAGCATCATCACTCGCCTCCTCCTCCTCCTCCTCCTCATACTACTACCACTCCTCCGACTCCTCATTCCCCTCCTAGGTTACTGGGATCGGCAGCAGACAGTGTACCGTACATGCACAGCACACTGTTAAAAGGAAAATTCTGCAGGCCTCCTCACCTCCCTGGGAACACGCCCCTGGGGTGGGAAGGCTACGGATAGAGTTTTCGTTTGGTCCGTTACAGGCAGAACCCTCTTAAATTTCCTGCTCTCAGACGAAGCCTTACCGTCACAAACACCACGGAGCTTCGAGCCAGCCTTGCACCTACGCCTACCTTCATGCCAGACAACGGGGTGGAGACTGCCGGGCTTGGGGGGTCGCCTTGTAAGACCCGCACGAGACCGACCCAAGTCCCCCAGCTCCCCGAACGACGGCCACTCCCCATACTCCAATAACGACAGTAGTGTACAATTTGGTGGTGAACATATTTCTGGCATTCGTGGCACAGCTGTAACCGTGGGTCCGTGCAGCTGGGCCACCTGTTGCTCCTGCAGAGAATAGTTAACTCCTCAGCGGGCAGGTCAACTTTGTGTTGATAACCTTTGACATTGACAAAGGCTGGCGGGCGCCAGGGCTGTGTCTGGCAACATATCTCCAAACATGGACCTGGACATTGGCCCCCCGACAAGGCCCAGGGAAAGGAGGCAGAGCTTTCAGCAACGTGGCATAGTACACGAATAGGGGCCCAGAAGCGTAGATTGTCTTGATTGTACACGCACGCAAGAAGAACTGCCCCATGTTCAGCGGTGCTACTGATTTGTACCCTAGCTGCTAGCAGAGGGCTGCGTAGCCCTCGGCTCAAACCTCACCCACCTGGGCCACGCTAACCCCCGCACGGGAAAGATGGCTGAGGTGGGGGAAGGAACACGAGCCGTCAATATACAGTTGGGCTCCTGGAGGAAACTCGAACTGTTGAACCTCACTCCCATCTTGAACAAAAAAACGAAACTTGCCAATCGCTGATGGGGGGTTCAGAGCTCGCGTTGATTCGGGCAAGCCACCCGCGACTGTACAGCAAGAAGGCAGGCCCCTCGTCTCTCGCAGTTTTGACCAGTTCAGGGGGAAGGACTCCTCCCTGACAGCAGAGACACGCAGACAGCTGCAACTCCAAACTCTGTGCCAGGGGGTGTCAATCTGCCCGTAACGATAACACAGGTCAGAGACGTTAAAGCCCCAATTCATCAAAGGAGAACCAGTAGAAGGGTGCCACAGAGAAACTGGCGGAACTTGACCTTCTCCACTTGGCTTAGTTCCACCTTACGAGAAGCGAGCAGCTGACGCGAAAGTTCCCACCACAAGCCATTGGCCTCGAGGTCGGCTGTATCATGGAGGGTTTTGCGGCACACGGCTTGCACATGCTCTTGCACGTACACAGATTTCAAGTGCCCAGTAAATGTACAGGCGACGAGGAGGGGCGAAACCTCAGGGATAAAAAACCGCTTCAAACAGGCAGTCAGGATACCAGCTCCTTGGACACCCCATCGGGCCTCTTCAAGCCAGAGGAAAGCGTCAGACATCGGTCCGCCAGTCCTGAAAAAGCAATTATTGCCTCAAGAATTCGAAACCGATTCGAAAGCAGCCGAGTGCGCTCGCGAGAAGGTTGCTACATTCAGGGCGTCAGGGTAAGTCACTCCGTAATCACCAGCATCATCATCATCATCATCATCATCATCATCACCACCACCACCATCATCATCATCATCATCATCATCATCATCATCATCATCATCATCATCATCATCCGCGTCGTCGCCATCGTCTGGACGACGGCGGCAACGAGCACGGAAGACCCCACACCTCAGGCGTCCTGTTCTGTTCGGATGCGTAGGCCTCCAGAACCCTCGACCCAACCTTGGGACCGGCTTTCCCCCGCAGGCTGGTTTTAGATGGTCCTGCAGCTTGGCAAAGAACCCCTGTACACGGGAGAAGCAAAAACAACAACAACAACAACAACAACAACAACAACAACCAAAAAAAAATGACGCCGGGGGTCTGTGACGACAAGACCGGCGACGACGGCCACGACGACGACCAGGACCAGACGACGCCGACGACGCCGACGCCGCCGACGACGACGACGACGGCGAGGTTGAGGGGCAACGATAGGGGGGGACTGGCATAGGCATAGGGGGGGATGCATCGACATGGAATCGGCGATACATCGCCGATAGATCGGCGATAGGCACCCGATAGTGAATGCGCACCTTCCTGGGAGGGCTGGGGCTATCGCGCCCCCATCGGCGATCAATGGGCGATGGGGGATCGATGCATCCCCCCCTATGCCCATCCCCCCCGATCGTTGCCCCTGAGAGGCGGGGGGGCCAGGCGCACCTGGTTGTCCCGGTGGTACCGGGCCGATATCCTGTCCCCGGGCTCCAAGGCGTCCGTCTTCGGGCTGGCCTGCAAGCCGCGGGGGAGGGGGAGAGAACGGCCGGGGCGCCCCCGGGGGAGATGGGCAGGGGGGGCGGACGCCGTTGTTCTGCTCGGCTGTCGCCGCCTTTCGTTGCGCCAAGCTCTGGGGGCTGGGTTGCACATCCGTCGGAAGAAGTATGAAGGGGCCCCAGGACACACAAATAAATACACACAAATAAAAAGATTCCCCATATTTTCCCATATTTTCTGGGTTTCTGTCTTCCCCCCCACTTCCCATATTTTCCCATATTTTCTGGGGAATCGAAAAGTAATTGTGTCTGTGTGTTTCTTTTCCTCCTGAAAATAGAAAGAAGCATGAAGTAGGAAGGCGTTGAAAATAGAGCGGGTTCCGTCCGCCCCCTAGAGGAGGACGGAAAAGGTGAGGCCACTCGATCATCGAAGCAGGAAGGCGCTGAAAGTAGATTGGAGTCTGGATGTTCCGAATTTACCTGCTTCCAACGACCGACGTTTAGAGCTTCATGGATGAGAAGCAACGGGGCCCCGAAATGAGAAAGTGGGGGCAGGTGCAGGGGGGAGAAAAGAGGCGCAGCTCAGCACAACACCGGGGGTGGTGCAGGGGGGGCACCACGCACACAGACCCTGGGCGGGAGGGCGCGAGGTGGCCAAAGAATAAACCTCCCCGTCGCCCACGGCACGCAAAGCTACCACCGCGCGCCGCAGACTGCGAGGATCCGTCCAAACGGGCAAATTTGGCTGGGCCATCATGTCCTTCGGATAAGATTGCTCCCAAGACTGCCCCAAGAGGGCCCGAAGAGGCGCCCAGGAGGCCCCAAGAAGCCCGCAAGTGGTCCCCAAGAGGCTCCAAGAAGTTCCCAAGAGGCCCCAAGAGGCTGCCCCAGGGCACCCCAGACGCATCATGAGGCCGCCAGGACAACAAAGAGGCCCCCGAGACGCCCCAAGAGGCCCACAACAAGCTGTCAAGAGGAAGCCGAAGAGACTCCGAAAAGCATCCGAGAGGTTTATGGCCTTTCTGCTCGCCCTCCTCCCCTTCCTCCTCCTCCTCCTCCTCCTCCTCCTCCTCCT